AAGTATGTCTCCTTTGGCATTAGTCCTAACTTTTCAAATTCAAAAGGGTTATTTAGTAGAAAGCAAATATTATATAGACCACTAATGTAAATTGTCTTTATTCTATTCTTTGCAACACTGATAGAAATTTTAATTCAGAAAATTACTTCCTTCTCTGTGATCATTGAATCACTCTAAAACAGTATGAGATTACAATTGTGTTCCATCAAAAACCTAGAAAATAAAAAAATGGAGAGTGTTTATTTTTACCAACCAGAAAATGATTGAAGATATTAAATCTGTCTGACTCCAAACTTAACAAATCACTCTTGAAATCTTCTCTCTCTCTTTTACTTTTCAGGCAGAATATCAGAATTGTATTAGCTAATAATTCTCCTTAGGAGAATTCACTAATGTTAACTATATCCTATCACTACAGAAGACCTCCAGCGAAATATCGCCTATCAATCAGCCTAATTGAGGTCATATATCAATGAGTACTTAATGAATTACAGTGGCAGATTGCTTTTAATGGCATCAATAAATGCTCTCATGTTTATTTTTTCAAACTTCTACGTACAAGTGTCCTCATAAATAGTACAGGACTATAAAAAATATATCCTAAGAAACCTGAAGCACCAATCAGAAAGGATGTATGCACTGCTGTTTATGCACAATTTACAATAGCTAAGATATGGAAACAGCCCAAGTGCCCATCAGTAGATGAGTGGATAAAAAAGCTTTTACATTTATACCATGGGAAACTATGCAGCAGTTAAAAAAAAAGAATCTCTTACCCTTTGAGACAACATGGAGGGACCTGGAGAATATCATGTTAAGTGAAATAAGTCAGTCAAAGAAAAACAAGTATCACATGATCACACTCATATGTGGAATCTAAGTAACAAAATAAACTGATGAACAGAGTGGATCTAGAGACATGGAAGCATGGAACAGAGTGTGGGATCTCAGAAGGAAGTTGGAGAAGAGTAGGTGGGTGGGAGGTAATCATATATGCATAACCCATGGACACAGACAATAGGATGCTGAAGGCCTGGGGGGTGGGGGAAGGAGGGGCAAGCTGGAGGGAGTGAATGGGGGAAAAAGAGGGACATATGTAATACTTTAAACAATAAAGGGTTATAAAAAATATAAATAAATTAGATGAATTTTTTCATAAGGAATCGATATGTTTAAAATAGAAAAAAAGAAGAAGTGTGGCTGGTGTGGGTCAGTGAAGTGATTGTGCATAGGGTGTGCAGGAGGCAGCAGATTAATGATTCTCTCTCATCATTGATGTTTCTATCACTCTCTCCCTTTCCCTTCCTCTATGAAATCAATAAAAATGTATTTTTAAAAGAAAATTAAAAAGAATAAAGTGATGATGTTTGTAGCTTACTTTGGAATGATTTTATGGGAGAAAAAAATTACAAACAAATAGACACATATAAATAGAGAAAATTTTGATACATAAAACAAATATGGTTATATTATAGATAATGTGTGTACAAATATCCATTATACTATTCTTTCAACTTTCTGTATGTTTGAAAAAATTTAATATTTTAAAAATGTTTACACCTCATTGGTTTATCCTTAAAAGTATATTTTAAAGTGTTATTTTAAAACATATAAAGTTTAAAAACACGAAGAGAATCAAGACTTTTCACTTTTCTAGAAATTCATTTTCATAGCTTATTGGATGTTTCACATTTTCAATTTTCTTCACACTAAGTAATAATGGTTTCTATCTGAGTTGGAACTAATATTTACTATTAATTAAACAAACCAAAGAAAATATGAATGCAAGAAACTTACTTAGGTTTTACACAGTATGCTTTCCTCTCCATATTATTCTAGACATTCCCCAACATTCATTGTTACTAGACACAACTCCATTAACCTATCTTCTTGAAAACAATTAGGAAGCAGGGCCTATCATACTTAACACTTATTTTTCAAAGCCTGTAAGCACCAACATTTGTAAGATATTTTTCTTCAATGTGTCACCCAAAGCTAATAAGGCATGTTTGTCTTCTAGAAAATTATGAACTGGCCATTTTTTTTTTATTTTATTTTTTTTGGTTTGGGGTTTTTAATGGGTATTGGGGGAGGAGGGTTATTGGTTTGGTGGGATGAAAGGTTATGTTTTAATGAAGGCTATAGAAGCCTCAGGGAACCTCAAGGACCCAGAGAAAATCTAAGAGAATTTTAAGAATTCAATGATGATGTCCTACTGCTCTCTTCCCCAGAATTTAAGAACACCGAGATTCTGTATGGGGGTCACCCAAAAGCCAGTAAGACATCAGGGAATACACCACCTACCTCTGAAATTCCTATATTTGCTGTTGTAGCTGCTGATTAATACAAGGTTACTAAGTATTTCTATTCATTATTCCTTTTGTTAGATAAAGACGATTAATTTTTCTAGGTATATTTTAATGTATATATGCATAGCCTGAGGACACAGACAATAGTGAGGTGAAGGCATGGGGTGGGGCAAGGACTGGGTGGAGGGCAAAAAGGGGAAAAAGTCAGGACTCTGTAATATTGTCAATGATTTAAAAAAAAAAAAAACAATAAATTTAGCATCAGGAACTTAAAATATGGGCTTCTTATGAATGTAGCTTCCACCAAAATGTCACACTTTCATTTGACAAATGCTTACTTAAAATTCTCTCTATTTTCATGACATGAAAAATTCCTTCAAAATGTATGCTATTAAAATGTCTAAATTTGGAAAACATCTGGTCTGTAAAAATATTTGGGAGGGGGGGGCTTGCGGTTCTTTAAGTACATTGTTGGAGGTAGTGTACTTGGAAAGAATTTACTTATCATTCTCAGGCCTGAGAACTAGCCCTGAAAACAAATGTATGCGGTAGTTCACTGCAACCACAGAGAATCAATAGTCATCTATTTAATTTGCTAAGACAATGGAAATTAGTAACTTCCAGCCAGATGTGTGATATACACATCAAACACACTGCAACCTGTTCATTATGAAAATCCTGTCAACACACACACACAGCCACTTGATGACATTTTATCGAAGGCAGTTTCCACATTTGCAGCTATAAATACTGTCCTAAGAATTTTTATACAAAGATTTGGAGCTGAGACTCATAAAAGGGTAATCAATTTCAGCTTTTCATCTTGTGTGCCTCTGTGTTTATTTCTATTTTCATTTAGAGGCATAAAACATTCAGAAAGACGTGTGCCCTGCTATTTTTCCTTCGGTAAATCATTTATCCTCATTACATCTTTTTAATCTGATGTAAAGTTGGTAGCCTAATCCTGCAGCTCTGGAGAAGTGTGTAAAGTGAAGAATGACAGAGTCAACAGCAGTCAGAAAATACACTTATGCACTGGAAAACAAAACAGAATATTCCAAAATGACTCCGAACATAAATTAAGTTTACCCATTGGGAGGTCTAACTTGCATTCTGATCATTTATATGGGTCTGTGTGACTATATACCCTGCTGTTTGATAAAAAATGATTACTAACCACAGGCACCACCAGAGAACAGAGTGTATGTATAATGCTTGTGATGTCTCAGACATACAAAGCACCTTCTTAAAGAATGTCCATTTCCTTTCCATGGTAAGCAGACATAATTTTTCACTTTAATACTTGTGCTTCACAGAGTGGCTTATTTTATGAATTATGATTTGCTATTTTCTCTTGTGCTTATTTTAATAATATGAAAAGCTGCATTCATAAAATGGTTGATGTGTTGCATGATACCCAAAATAGTTCTGTTTTATGCTCTGTATTAAAATACACAGCCTTTGTGCTGTTACAAAAACATAACGGTATTTATGGTATTTATGTTAGCACTATTTACTAACATGAAAAAAAAACAATTCTTAGTAACCACATTATTCTTAAGTACTAAATTTCATCTAAACTGATTCATTTTCCAAGTCTATTAATTAAATTTTCTTATTAAGCAAGCACAAATTAAGTAGCCTTATTGCCAAGCATAATATCTCCAACTACATTTTTAACGGGCAATTGAAAAGAACGTGGAGTAAATCCAGTCCTCATCATCTGTAGTCTGATTCCAAAGAGCACCGCTTAACCAACTTCCTAATATCCAACTAGCATTTCTGCTAAGCACCTGGTGTGTTCACTGACCCAAAGCAAATAACTCCTGAGGTACCCTAAAATCACAACCGAGAGAGAGAGAGAGAGAGAGAGAGAGAGAGAGAGAGAGAGAGAGAGAGAGAGAGAGAGAGAGAGAGCGCAAGAGAGAGCGCAACTGCGCCCACAAAAGGTTTCTTCATAAAGGCTTCAACCTTTTGACTTTCACAAACATTATACAGAACGTGCTTTCTTCACCACCACCAGCCGCACAGCAGACCATGTGATCAGCCTGCGGGGCCACCCGAGATGATTGTTTCTGGGAGGAATAATGCTCAGATGCGCTGCCGGGCCGGCCCGCCGGCCGCACCCGCAGGTCCCGCAGCCCGGCGGCCTCGGCCCGCAGCGCTCAGCGGGGCCTAGGCACCCGCGGGGCCGCAGCCTGAGGCGGTCCCTTTGCTCCTGGAGGTTCAGTCAGACCCTCCCGGCCACTTACACCCCCTTTGTGGTTCAGGGGGGCAGTCACTCTCTCTGAACTCTGAACTTGGATTGAAGATTCTGGTTGAAATTAAGAACTTCAAACCCAGATTTGAAAAAGTGAAACAGATGTCCAGTTCGTTATCCGTAAATGGCTCCGTACGTCCGACCCTTTCCTCTCTTCCCTTTTTCTTTCTGCCACATTAAGTTTTATTTAATGCAGCGTTTCCTTAAAAGGTAGAGAGAGAGAGAGCAGAAAGCAAATACGGACTGAGGGTGGAGAAGTCCTAAATCTTAGGACGAAAGGAAGCCTCGCAAAGACGACCGTGCAAGAGCTGCCGCCTCCCTCCCAGCGCAGGGGCACCTAGGGGACCCCGGTCTGGAACATCCCGGGCGGGGGGCGCCCACCCTGCACCCCGCCGCCGGCGAGGGGCAGAAGGAGCCCGGGCTGCACTCACGTGAGGACGTAGTTGACGCTGACGATGCAGTGCGGCCGGGACGAGCGGCTGTTGTGCACGATGGTGGCGTAGCTCTGCACCCACACCCAACCGCCCTGCTTGGCCAGGAACCTGTAGTACTTGGTGGTCACCTGCCCCTTCACCAGCACTGAGGGGAGACGGAGAGGGGGCGGAGGTGAAGGAGCCGCAGGATCGGCCCCCACGCAGCCCCGGCGGGAGAGCATGCACGGGTCCCCTGCGGGCACCAATGAGAGCGGGAGGGGGAGCCCACAGGCACCTGCCCAAACCCATGGACTGTCCTGTCCATGTGCTGGAGCCCTGGGTCCCTCACGATGAGCAAAGAGGGAAATGCTTAAGGCTGGAGGACCCCCCCCCCCCACACACACACACACACACACACCATTCGATTTTCTAACGGGCAGCTCACTTCCTAGCTCACACCGGGAGGTGAGGCTCCAAGCAAAGCGAGAGCAAAAGCTGAGAGCTGCACCCACCGGAGCCGCGGGCTGGCCTCCGGTTTTCCTCCCGCCTTTGGTGAGGCTGGGGGGTGGGGGGTGGGGCAATATATCAATAGGAGAATAACACCCACCCCCATCCCTCCCTCCCAGGGCCCCAGGGAGAATTTCTCCAAGAATTTCAGAAATTCTCCCTCGGCCATGGGAGCGCCCTCGGATGCTTAGAGAGACAGGATGGGGTCTGTGTGAGAGCGGCCGCTCGCAGGTCCTCACCTATCACCCCCACTGGCTCCCTGAGCTACCAATGGTCCTCGGGCTGGGGCTTCGGTCACACCCTCCCCTCCCCTCCCCCCCTTCCCCTCTTCCTCTCCCTCTCCTCCTGGGGGCCTGGCCGGGGTGCAGCGGCCGCTGGGGGGCGCCTTACGCAGGTGGTGGGCGCAGCGCAGGTGGAAGGTGTCGCAGCCGTGCACGTGGTGATACAGCGTCTTCTCAATCAGGTCCTGAGGCTCGTACCCCGTCAGCTCCGCCACCCTGCGGAGAGTCATGCCAAGGGATGAGCAGCGGGGGGCGTGGGGAGGGGTCCCCCACCCCACACAGCCACCTGAGACGTGGGTGCCCGCCGTCACCCTCACCTCACAGAGCTCCATCAGTCACCTCGTCTGCCAAATGGGCCCCTAAGATCCACAGGGAGCTCCCCCCATGGAGCCCGGCCGCCCTCTCCTCCCTCTAGGGGTGACTCTTTACCGCCTCCCCCCTCCTCCCCGCCTCCCACCTGGAGTCCAGGAAGATGAGCTTCATGTCCAGGCTGGCGCGGAACATGAACATGTTGCTGTGCAGCTTGATCTCCGTGACGGCGCTGGGCGGCAGCGAGTGGCCCACGGCCACCAGCCCCACGTTCTGGTAGCAGCCGTCGAAGGGGGACATGTCCAGGCTGTACTGGCGGATCTTCAGGTAGCCGCTGCAGTGGATGACCTGCGGCGGTGGCAGGAGACAGGACAAGACTCAGCCAGGCAGCCAGGAAACCACCCAAAAAGGTGGGGGAGGGACCCAACTAGACCACAGATGCCCTGTGGGCCACGCCCCCGCGTTCAAGTGTCCCAGGATACTGGGGCTCCAAGGTGTTTCAAGGAAACGCCTGCACGGCCTCACTGAACTTGCCTGGGGACATGTGAAAATGCAGAGGCTTGGGCCCTGCCAGCCCTAACACACCTGAATCTCCAAGCCTGCATGTTTAATCTCATTAACCAGGAGGACCACAGACTAGAACTAACGCTCTGTTTCCTGACCTCTCTGGGGGGTCAGAACCTGACGCCCTGAGTGAACTCTAGGAGCCCACTGGAGCGATGGACCATGTCTGACACTTGACACATCCGGGAGACCCATTATGGGCCCCTGATTTTAGAGCCCCAGCAGCCAGGGAGTGAGTATCCGGACCCAGTGGGCTGTCTTCAAGCCTAGTTCCAGGTGTTCCCAAACGTCAAAGACCTTGGTGATGTGCCCCACCTCCCGGAGCTCCCGCACCATCCACCCAGGCAGGGAACGCCCAGGTGGGCGGTCCAGACCACAGGGAAGCCCCTCCCATGCCACGCCGCTAGGTTCCCCTGCCCTGCCCCTTTCCCCTCCACCAGGCTGTGTCTGGGACCCTCCCTCTCAGCCATGTACCTTGTAGCCACCACAGGTGAGGCCCGCGTTCCTCTTGGCCAAGACACACTTCATCCTCAGGAAGAAGGAGCGCTCGATCTCGTACTCTGGGGAAGAGGAGCGGAGGGAAGCACAGGACCTTAGAGGCAGCGCAGCCCAGGGGCCCTGCCACGGCTAACTGGGGCAAAGCCGCCAGCGGACTGTGATGGGCCAGAGTGTGCGGGCACACTTCTGCCTTACCCTGGACAAAGTGAGAGTGGTAGGGCTGATGGGCCGTGAGGACCGCTGTCATCTCGTCGTGGTCTGCCGGGTGGATGTATTCGTAAATGCTATTCCCGGTCAGTTCTACCTGTAAAAGAGGAGGGTATCACCGTCTGGGAGTGGTGATGCCACATGGGGGGACTGGAAGATTAGGCTAGGAGGGCCACAGGGTGGTGAGGACAGGAGTTAGAACTCTAGAGTCTGTCCTAAGATCGAATTCTCTGCTGATGCAGCCTACCTAGGCCTTGGTTTCCTTATCCATGGAAGGAAATAATAGTAGTAGTTGTAGTAATAGTCCCCTGTCAATACTCTGGTGAAGACATTATGACATAAATGTGTAACCTATCTCCCATGTTATTTGGCCTCTGCTAGGGACTCAAAAAGGTAGCCATTGTTTGGGCGTGGAATAGAAGCTAAAGGATAAGGGAAGTGGAGAGCGGGAGAGATCCAGCCTCCTGTCAGCTGAGATGTTTCCAGTCCCAGAGACGCACATATAAAACCTTTGGGACAGCCACCCCTCCCACCCTTCACCCCCTGCCTCCAGCTCTGGCTGTAAACACTGAAGGCTAGGGTTTCTAGACCACTCACCTACCTGAGAAAGACCCAGGTGGACTGAGGCTGTCTCTGAGATGTACATGATCTTTCCATCTGGGGCCACCACAAAGATAAAACCATCCAGGGTCTGGGAAGATAGAAACAGAGTTGAATGGAGAGTCCTCTGGGACACTGGTACAAATTGGGGTTACGGGGACAGAAGTTAGAGATGCCCAGCCAGAAGTGCAAAGAGACAGAGTAGAGAGAAGATGGCAGGAAATAGGGCATAGAGAACCAGTCCCAAGAGTCCCTCTTTTGCTTTTCCCAAATTTGAAAGCATCTGGAAAACGCAGCACACCGGAAGAGATTCAGAGGAAGAGATGGAGAAGATTCGGGATCCACCAAAGTAGACAAAGCAAGCCTATCTGTAGCACACACACAAATATTAGGAGGGGGGACATAGTCTGCTATAAGAGGTGAATTAGGTTCTTGGAGTGATGATCACTGAAAAAGCCAGAGGTTTCCTCTGTTAGTCTTGGGGGACTCCATAGTGACAGCGTCTTTTAATAAAAATAATACCTGGGGTTTGGGAAATAGCAGGCATTGGGTGATGTGGAAGGGCTGGCAGTCTGAAAAGTTGTAGACAGAAGGCAGATGGCCAATAGCTCTGAAAAGAGTCTGGGAGAGGGGGATTTAGATGAGAGGCTTTCCAGGCAGCAAGTCCATAAAGTAGGGCAACAGTGTGATGTGTGCGTGTTTACATTGATACGTCAAACTGACAGGCTCTCCATGAAGGCAAGTCTCACTTTCTCTGTCCCTTTATTTGTGTGAATGGGGCTTCAATCCAGGCAGTGGAGACAAGGATGAGTCAAATTTTACTCTCAAGGATCTGGGAAGTCCAGTAGAAGCATAAAGACTGGTGTAAAGACAGAGATAATGACTACACAGATGAACAGACAGTGCTGTTAGGGCCCAGAGGGTGAGTGGCCAGAGGCCTAGGGAAGAATCAGAGGCCTTAGAGGTACAGTTTGAGCAAAGCCTTGAAGAGGAAGCTTGAACTGTAGTAGAGAAGAAGGGCATCCTAGACAGAAGGACTGATGTGCCAAAGGCAGGGACTGAGGGGAGGATGGATCTAATGATTTTTGTGCATCAGAGATAGGGCTGAGGGAGTACACCAGTGCTGGATTTTTGGAGAGTTTGAGATGTCAATCTGAGGAATTTAGAGATACTCCTGTAGGCATCAAGGTTCTAACAGAAGTTTCTAAGCAGGGGAATAGCATGCTTAGACATTTTTTTTTTTTTTGGGGGGGGGGTTGGAAATTTGGACAATCACTTATAGGAAGAAAGAATGGGGATGAGGCAATCAGAAAGTGGAGTTCAAGTCAAAGATGGTTCTGGCCATGGGATTTATGGTGGCAGGAAGAGTCTGATTTCAATGTCATTGAGTTAACACCATTAACCAAGATCGGGAATTTGGAAAAGCATGGTGAGTTTTTGTATGGGTGGGAGGAAATCTGGAAGAGGAAAATAATGAATTCTTGACTTGGAGATGCTGAACTTAAGGTGTTTCCAGATTTCCATTTGGATGTATCCAGTTGGCAGGAGTAAATAAAGGCCTGGAATTTAGGAGGGGTGTCTAGAGGGGGGGGGGGGGGGGGAGACCAGCTGGAGTCATGCAAATGTGGGGAAAGGAGTTGAGATGATAATGTTGGCTGAGATCACCCAAGAGGCCTTGAGGCTGTGAGATGAGAAACAGAGTTGGAACCTTTAGGAACTGTCAGCATTTACGACCAGACAGTGATGGGAAAACCATCGGAGCAAAGGGAGAGGGAGAGGAATTCAGAAAGGTGTGGTACTTTGGAATCTGAAGGAGAGGGAGAATGTCACCTCCATCAAGCCCAAATGTCCTTCTCAATGAGGTCCTCTGCCACTCAAACGCATCCCTACTCCTTCCCCTTCTTGTTTTTCTTTTTTAAGTCCTCACCTGAGGATGCTTTTATTTGTTTTTTTAGAGAGAAAGGAAGGGAGAACTGCTATTCCCAGTGTGAGAGAGAAACTTCAATTGGTTACTTCCCTTATTCACTCGGACTGGGATTGAACCTGAAACCTGGGCCCTGACCAGGAACTGAACTTGTCACCTTTGGGTATATGGGATGATGACACACCAACCAACTGAACCACCAGGCCAGGGTTCCCTTACTTTTCTCCACAGCACCTCCACCACCTGTTACAATGAGCAGAGCACCTGGGTTTGCAAGACTGCTCTCCTTAGAATGTAAACCCATGAGGCAGGGCTTTCTGTCTGGCACATAGTTGGCCCTCCTATATTTGTGGAATGAATGAGGTCAGGCAGGATAAGAAATGAGCATCTTATGCTGCATATCAAACTGTGGTGGGGCCTGCGCAGAGCACAATGGCTGGGAAGGGTGCTGGACCTCAGGAATTTGGGAGGGAGTGGGGCAGGGTGAGTAATAGAAGTTGAAAGTGTAATTAAGTCCTTCTGAGAAGTTTGGGATGAAGAGAGGAGAAGACTGGGCAAGAGCTAGAAGGGGTGAGGGATTGTCTGGTTTTTGTTCTCTCTTGTTTATATTGATGAGGGGAAATTAATTGGTAATAAGGCAAGATCAGGTAGGGGGTCAGCTGTTGAGAGACAATGGATGGAAGTTGTCCCTGTGAAAGGGAGGGACAGTGCTAGTTAAAATCAGAGGTGTAGGGGCCAGGCCTGAGAAGTAATACTTGAGCAGTGCCTTTCTTTACTCCATGAAACTAAAATCTCTGGCCTCTGATACCAATGGGGTAGCTTCGGGACAGGAAAGGGCGTGGCACTCCTGGTAGGAGATGCTCAGGCCTGGCCCACCTGGGAGAATGGGCTCGGATTCCTCCCTGATGCCCGCATAGGTTTGAGGCACCTACAGGAGAAGTTGCAATGGACTTAAGGGTGCAGGTTGGGAGACAAGTGTCAAGCCTAAAAAATGGCACCAGGAGTTTTACTATTTTAAATATTTGCTAGGTGACTTACGTGGGCAATTGGCGATTTGAAACAGTATACACTGCAAACAGTGCAAGAAAGGGAGCTTCCACTTTGGATAAACTCATTACCTGGGGAGCTGTACGTGTGTGCACAGGGCTTTGTCTATACATGGCTGGGCTGGCCTATGGTGAGGGCCATGGGGAGTGAGGAGAGAGCCCAGAACTACCAGGAGGAGATGAAAAGAGTTGCAGGAGCAGCTGCATCCAGAATGTGCGGGCTCAACGCATTGACTGGCATTTCTGCCAGATTTCCCTGATTTCCTGTGTAAATCCTTCATTTCGGATGGTTTTGCAGCCTAGCCTGGGCAGCTTGGCTTGGCTGTGCTCTGGTCCCCTCAGCCCAATGGTGTCAAATGGCACCCCTCCCGGGGTCCAGTCCATCTGATTGCTGGAGCTCCCTTTCACATCCAATGTGCTGATTGTCACCTTGCCTTCTCTCTTGGCCTCTGGAGGCGCCACTCGCACCAAGGCACCACGAGAGGTTAAGAGCTAAACCTTTTAACTCTGGAGAAACTGCAGGGGCTGCAGGAGGGACACGTCAGGGCAGGATCCCATTTTTCTAGGAAACAAGAAGCCAAGCACGGGGACGGGCGCTCAGACGCTCAGAGCTTATGCAGACGGGCTGGGATGCCACGTCCGTACCTGCAGCAGGTGAGAGCCCAGTTCGCGGCCAACGTTGTCCAGGGGGCTGGTCCGACTGGAGTGGCCCCACGCCTCACCGAGCCCTGTGGAGGCACAGAGACACCCTTTAGCAACGGGACTCCAACCCCGCTGGCAGTTTGAGACTAGCCTCACAGTGATGTCACACATTCAAGCTCACACACGTGACCAGATACCATCAGGCTCCCCTCGCTCTCTGGACAGCAAAGAATGGAAGCAGGTAGATATAAGCCCTGCCCTCTCAGTCTGAACAGAGGTCGGACTTCCTCTCCCAGAGGGGCCTGGGCTCCTCAGGGAGGGCAGATTCTGGTTGAGCATCCCTGGTCAGGACCCCAAGTGGCTGAGAACCTTGCCCTGAAAGAGCTCCTTACATTGCACCCCAGCGGTAACTATTGCGTAGGCTCACTAGTGTTCTTAGAAGGGTGAGGGGCACTATTTGTCACCCAGCGTTTCATCATCATTCTTATGGAAGCGTGAACGTCACTGACGGCCCAGAGTGGCCTGAGGTCCTGGGCCAGGGCCAGCTTGTCCCTGGGGAGCTTGCTGATTGGCAGCCCGGCTCTCCAGCACTCCCCTCCCAGGGCCTCTGACTTTAATCCTCTTCCAACAAACCCATTTGCCTGCGCAGATGACTCCTGGCAGTAACAGGCCCCTGCAGTCCTTCTTTGCCTTTTCCCTCCCAGCCTCTCCCCATCTTCTTATGCACCCTAACCTCACCTGCCATCCCACCCCCAAAAAAACACCTCACAGGCTTTTCTGAGGTCCGGTACTTGCAGGTTCTAACACTGTTTTAGCAGTATTCTTATGGCCTTCTGAATATAGAGAATTCATTACTTTCTCTATGTCCAGGTATCATCTTAACAAATGCAGTCCCTTTCTGTCCACGTTAAGATCTTCCCAAGTGTTGCCACAAATAATTTTTCCGGTGAAGCCTAAAAAAATAAAATTCTCAGGATGCTGTGGCTGGCTTTTTTCCCCATTAATATGGAGAAAGAAAATGAAAATCAGGTAGGAGAAACTTGTCCAGATCAAGGTGAAACTTCTTATGGGTAACATCTTTTAATAGTTGCTGCTGAAATTGATTTAACTGTTATGTTTACACCATTACACAAGGTTTAACATGACCAAAAAAAAGGTGGGAGGGAGAGGGCGATTTGCTGGGGAATGGGGCACATCACTACGAAGTACACAATGCCCATCACACCCCCATTGTTATATGGGGTTGTGGGTGGATCTTTCAGAATAAAACATGGAGCTGGACTCTAAAGTGTGTTGGCCAGGAGCCGCTTCCTAAAGCAAATGCCCAAAACCCTGGTAACGAATAACCGTGAGCGCTCAAATCGGGTCTTTCTGGGTGTTTGCACATCTAAATAAATCTAACGATTTCCCCACCGCTCTGCAAACACGGACGCTCCCGCCTTCCCCGGGTCTCCCTTCCCTCCTTCCTCACCCTCCTCCCCCCCACCCCCATGCCTCCTGATCCCGCCCCGGTGCCCTTCCCCAGAGCTTCTCCACTACCCCAACCCCCGGGGCCGCCCTCCTGGACAGGACACTGCAGTCTGCGCACACACACCCCTTCTCTGTCACCTTCTCTTTGTTCCTCCCGTCTCAGCCCAACTATCCACCTGGGTTTCGGGCACGACGTGTTCATGTTTTCGTTCCCGCGCACAGATACCCGCCCAGAAGGAGTGGCGGGCAGGTCGACTAGGGAGGCCGCACCAGGGAAAGGGGGAAGGATCCATCCTGCTGGGGTGGCGCTGGCCCTTGGATGCCAGGGGAGGGGCGGGGGTCCTAGCCGAGGCCTGAAAGCCCAGAGCTTCCCCGGGGCCTAGGGGCAGGGCACTCGGGCGCCTAGAGCTTGCCGAGGCTGCGCAGCTTCTGGAACCAAGGAGCCCGCAGCTCCCTAAAGGGCGCAAAGAGTGCGCTTGGGATCCACAAGTGTTTTTATTCTGAAATGATCAGGCCCCCCAAAGCGGCTGGAACACACCCGGGATCAGCCTCCCGACCCGAATCGTCTGAAAATGCCCCAAACTGCGCTGAGGTTAAGTGCTGGTTCCGACTCGTGGCGCCCGCCTGGTCTCGGGTTGCGGCCTCCTTTGGGGAGCCTCCGGGGGAAGTAAAGGCTACTCCGCGGGTTAAGGTTAATCAACAGCCGGCCGGCCAGGTTCCCCGGGCCCTCCCTGGCCCTCTCCCGCCCCACCCCCATCCCCACCTTTTAAGGAACCTTTTGCTTTCACGGAGCATTGCCTTTTCTTTATGCTCCCGGCCCAAATCTCCGTCACACGGTTATGTCTGGGTTAATGTTTTATAAGGGACTGGATGCCTTCGTCGACCTGCTGGGCTTCCCCCGACCTAACACGAGGGCTGAGCTCGCCCTTCAGCCTGCCCCGGACACCCTCTGAAACCCGGTCATGGATGGGTCCCACTCCGAGCACCCACCCCGGGGTGGGCCAGGGACCCCTCTCCCCGGACCCTGCCCTTCCCGCCTGCGGGGACGCGCTCCCGCACCCAGTTTCGCTTGGCGAGGGGAGTAAGCCGAGATTTCGTTTCTGCACTTGACCTACCGCAGAAAATTCGCAAATCCTTTGATTGTCTGTTCAAAATGAGGAGCAAACCAAGCCCCCTTTGCGGCAGGATTTCGGTGGGAACAAGATCTAAAGATTCTCTTGTAATTCGGGGAGGCCGAGGGAACGGGGTTTTGCAGAGGGGAAAAAAAGGGAGCTCAGTGAGGGAGGCGATCGCTAAATCGGGTTTTAGACAAAAGGATTTTCCCTGGCTAAAGTGGCCGAAGACAAAGGAAAACATAATCTATTTGGGAAGATTTCCAAGATATGCTACATTAACCTTAGCAGATAAATTTTGCTTCTCCCCGCCCCCTTCCTCCCTCAAAGTCTGGCTTATCATATTTACATAAGTAGTATTACAAGGGATGTATCTATCATGGATCTAAAGGGCCAGCTCACGTTTCATGTGGAAGCTCCAAGTTCCACTGTTGCTTCACCCTCAGCGGCGGGCGGAGGAGCCATTTCCATTTAAATACCCCCTGACCCAAGGATTACCTCAATGGACTGACTGCGCGGGTTTTGTAATTTCCTGAAAATGAGATTTCGATTTATAAAACAAGAAACCAATTAGTAACCAAATGAGGCGAAGTAGATCCACTAAAATTGACCTAATCCCACAGGCACAATTTAGGCCCCGTTCTTGGCGAATGAATGATGAGGCCCAGTCCAGTGTGAGCTCAAAGCATCACCCAGCTGTGTTATTGCAGGCAGCAAAAATAAATTGATCGAACTTTCCTTCGGAATGAATTTCATACCCTTGACAAAGTACAGATGACAGGCGCGGCTTCGTCACCTCCTTCAGTCAGACAGGAAGGGGAGGATGAGAAGAGTTTCTTTTCTTACCATTCTTTTTTTCTTTTTCTTTCTTTCTTTCTTTCTTTCTTTCTTTCTTTCTTTCTCTTTTTCTCTCTTTCTTTCTTTCTTTCTTTCTTTCTTTCTTTCTTTCTTTCTTTCTTTCTTTCTGTTTTAATAAACACTCAATAGAATGTGTCCTTCTGAGGACATCGCTATGCCTTTTAAGCAACAATGTGGGTGCTGGAGGAGCTGTCCCACGACCAGATCAGATCACAACCGGTGGCTGATGCCACAAACACTCCCCCCCCCCCCCCCCCAGACCGAGACTGAGATCACGCTCCTAACTTTGGGTCTCAAAGGGACTTGTCCCAGCCACCTGGGTTTCTCTCTGGACCGGCATCCTGGCCGAATGCGCACTGCCCAAGCCTTTCCCGGGGCCCAGCAATCAACAGCCTTGAGGAGAGCCTCAGAGGCTGGATTTCTTCGGGAAAAGAGGAACTGAGATTGGACCTTTAGCCTAGACCCAAATCCAGGAGTCACTGGGTAGGAGGCTGCTTCGCGCACCTGGGCACCCCCACGCCCACCTCCGGCGCTGGGGCCCGCCGCACTCCGGGCCCTCTCTGGCCACCTGGCGGGTGTGGCAGACCTTCCCACGTCTTTGGTGGCCGCGGGGGGGCCAGGCTTTGTCCTGAACCTCACCCACCGTGCTGGCACTCCGCAGTGGCAGTGTGCGTTCTGGCTTTTCCTTGTCTGCCTCCGGCATCCCCACCCATCCGCGCCTGGGGAGTCCACTCCAGTTAGTGAAAATCTGGGGCGGAAACTCTCTGCGCCCTCGTTGTGCTCTGGCCCCGAGCTAGGGCTTCCCGGTCCGGAGGGAGCTGGAGCGTGCTGCCAGGCTGACTGTGGGCTCCCCGAGCCCGGGGGAGAGAACCTTGCCGCAGGCCCCCGACCCCGGTGGTGGTGGGGGGGGGCGGTAGCCGGGTCCTCGCTAAGCCTTGGGACAGAAATGCGCGCAGGGGTGACCGCAGTGCTGAGCGGCTGCTGGAAAGGGCCAGGCGGTGTGGCCAGGACTCGGGGCTTCCAGGGCGATGCCAGGTCCCCAAGGCGAGGCCGACGGGGCTGCCCCGCGGCGCTAGCGGATCCCGAGTAGGTTCTACTTGGCAAACGGGACTCCGACCGCTGCACCAGGGCTCGCTCGGGCGGGATCTCGGTTTAGACGATGGCAGGTCCTTGGGGCAGTAGCCCGGGCAGCAGGAGGGCAGCGGGTGCCCAGGACAATCGGGCGGAGGCGTCCTCAAACCCTGGGCAGGCAGAGACTCGGTCCATTGCGGAGGCCCCCAGCTGGCGCCCCCAGGCTGCGGCCACCCCGAGAAGGCAGGCGGGAGTCTCAGGGGGAGGACGAACCGCAACACACTTCTCCTAGCTGTTCTGGTCCATGCTGGAGGCCAGGCAGAGGTTTAGACAAGGTCGCTATCCCTGGTTTTGTCTGAGCCACCAAGGTGGAGCGCTCCGTGCAGGAGCCGCCTGCCCGGTGGAGCTACCTGCAGAAGACCGTTTGCCACGCTGTTCTCAGGCTGTTTTAGTTCCTTCTGATCAGCAGGCCCATTGCTAAATAACTGAAGGTTCTCCCGGCCTCCACAAAAAATTTAAATCCCGTGGATCAGAAACTGGCAATGAGTGGACTGAGAAAACCGTAACATATTCACTGTGCCTGAACATTCTCTTGAGAAAAACCTGAGCGGACCCATAAAGACATGCAGCAGGAATCCATGGACATTTGTGTCTGCAAAACCTCAAAGCTGCCAAGATTCCCTGAATTTGAAAAGTTACTCCCTAGAAATCACGTTTGCCCTCTGGAAAGTTCGCCTGATTTTATTCAGGTGGGTGACTATACCCTGCTTAAAAGCATCTCACCACAGCTTATGATATTGTGTTTATGTTGGGGGTTTTGTTATTGTTTTTATTTGTGATCCTTCGTTTAAAGGGGGAAAAAAGGTTTTTGGGTTTTTTTGTTGTTGTTTTTTTTTTCATTGATCTAATCTACAATTTCTAGCACATAAATCTGCCTTGCAAATGCTCCGCACGGAGTTTAGTTCTGCACTCTACATTTTAAGTCAACATCAAAACCGGGAATTAAATAGAGAAAACCAGCATGGAGGCGTAAACTGTGCCTGAAGGCTTTTAAATGAGAAAAACTTCTGTAAGAAAATAAACATGGAAACCTAATGCTCAATCATTTCCCCAAGCAGCAAGAAAAACAGCCTTAAATCACCCATCCACGTGGGAAATGGGGGCCTCTTTTTCTCTTCCAGTTCTCTGCCTCAAAAAAAAAAAAAAAAAAAGTAAGGCGATAAAGGTTTCAATCTTGAGGTGAATATTATAGGAAAGTTCTGTGGAGGTTTGCTTAATTATCCTTGTCCTTCTAGTCCCGCTGAAGACTCACTTCCTGCACAGTTACTAATTTCAATTCTGTAATTATTTTTATTTTCCCATGATATCTTGAGAATGAAATAGTAGTGTGATGTTACCAAGATTCTGAATGACTATAAACTTGAAAACATGGGTGATCTTTTTGAAGGTTATTCTGTAAGCCACTTCATGCCCCCCTCCTTCAAAACTATTATATCTGAATAACAAACACATATTTCTTTAGTTGAATTGTCCTAGTTTGCACACAAATAAAGTCACATCATCTTTTTTTTTTTTATCCTGCCTTTCTATCTTTGATCAGAGAGCATACATTTCTAGATGCCCTAATTTTCCCTTTGTAGGGCCATTTTAGAACAGGATATGCTGTCAATTGGGAGATATGCAGTTTTAATGATTTCACAGTAATCTTCCTTAAGTTTTTTTTTTTTTTACTGTGAAATCTCCAATCTAATGATTTATTCTCAGTTATTCCAGACATCCATATCCTGTTCCTTTACTCTCTCTCTTGTTTTTCCCTCCCTCAACAGCTCAATTTTACCTATTCGGGTAAATAAGAGCTGACTTTTGACAGGGCAGGGGGGATAAACAGCAACTGGAGGGGCTAACAATATTTTAGGAATTAAAACATTTTTCAAATGTAAGTATAGAAGGATTTTTGCTTTCGGACTTAAGCCTTTTGGCATTACAGGCTATTACAGATGAAATGTATATGAACAAAAACAATGAAGCATGTCAGTCATTGTTATGCCTATGAGCTGTCACTAGATTTATAATTATTTTAGGTTATATACCTTGCAAAATCCAAGTTACCTGGGATGGAATGTTACCATTGTGAAACAACTATCTCCCAACCTTGAAATAAAATTTTATTGAAAACCTACTATGTGCTAGGATGGTGTCAAATGCAAAAATGAACTATATTGTCAAACAAATTGTTTTCATTTTTCATCACTAAAAAAAAAAATTATTTCCCCATATAAAATATCAGTCTCCCCCACTGCTATGGAGCCATCCCCTGCCTCCAGCCAAGAGCTAAACCCAAATTTGGCACCCTCTGCAGGTTGTGCCTGGTTCTTCCTCTTGTGAATATTTTACTCCTTTAAAACTATTGGGTGTTCTTTGTTTGTTTATTACTATTGCTGTTTAATGTTCTTAAAGGCTATGTTTGGATACTGAATTTTTTGAAGCTAATCTACCCTCAAAATTAAAACCTCATCCCTAGCAGCAGCTGTTCGGGATGACCCTGTCTAACTCACGGTGTGGAGGCTGCAGGGTGAGTTATGAGCTCAACAGTAGCAGGAGAAATAAATGATGTGCCCAGAGTTCACACATCGTCCATTCCCTCCGCCCCATAAACTTACACTCACCCACCGGAGGGAGAGGAGGGGCCTGGGGCTGGTGAGAAAGGTGAGGGGGCTGCGGAAAACGCGGTGGCCCCCAAGGTAGCCTCCTGGGGCCAGCCTAGCCAACAACTAGACTCCAGCCAGAGTCTTCACCAGAGCTCTCTTTAAAAATAACAAGTTGGCTAAAACAGTTTACTTTTTGTTCCTCTTTTTTTTTTTTAATTTATTCTGGGATTTACAATTTGTGGAGTTAGCACTCAAATAAGAAAAGCCTGCTCTCTTAAAAAAAACAAAACAAACAAACAAAAAAAACTACAGAAACCAGCCCTATCCCCTCTGGGTCCGGCCAGCGTGCAGGTCTGTAGGACACAGATGAGGCCCCTGGCCTGACAACTCCCCGGGCTCTGGGGTCCCTCTCTGTGCCTCCCCAGGAACTGGGACCTACTATTCTCTTCATCCCCAGATTACACGCAGCCCCACAAGCAGCACCATATGCTTCTTCTGATCAAACAGCCAGCGACATTGGCACTGATAATTGATGAGACCCGCTAGAAATCACGCAGAAAGGGAGCCCACTGAGACCGCAGGGGCTGACAAATCACTGCTAATAACCCTGTTAGGAACAGAGGGAACAGCGGAGTTCGAAATAGCTTTATTTTTATAAAGTAGGCGCTGACAGTATAAAAGACAACACGATCTCTTTTTTAAACATCAGGCAGTGTAGCATCGTGATAATTTCCCACTAGCAATTCTCAGCAGAGTTTGAATGGGAAATGTGGTTTTTAATATATGTTTCCTCCTCTTTTTTTTCTTTTTTGGCCATTGCTTTTTAGTTACTTTAGGTTTTTATTCCTTTCCTCCTATGATTTCCAGGGTCAGAGGAGGCTATTCAAGGAACTGCTTTAAGACAAAACAAGTATAACACTACCTCTAGTTTTAGGGTGAAATTGAACTATAATTTGAAATTTCTCCTTTGGTACCCCTGACTATTTTGAGGCATAGTTTGCAAGATTTTGATTCAGATAATAACTGTTTGTCAAGATCAAGCAAACTGAAAACTCCAAACCAAATAATGACCATTTCCTTTCCAGTATTCTCTTAAAAGAAAAAGAAAAAAAAAAACCCTTATTCAAAATCAACAATGACATAAACCTCTCTGGGACAAATAGAAAGTTCTGCTTTATAAACAAACAGGGTGCTTTCTCTTGGGTTTTTGTTTACTTGCCATTCTCTCCTTTACATTTCAAATTCCCTCCCTCAGAAAAGGCATATCTAAAATGTATCTGTTTTAAATCTGTTGATGTTATTCCAATGGGGGCATAACGGAAAGATGGGGAGGTAGGAGAGAGAAGTGTCCTTTCTCCAGTGAGTGTAAGTGGTTTTATACAGGAGAATGTTTTTCGAAGGCTGCTCTGTTCTCACACAGTGAATCTTCATAATTCAAATGCCCATTTTTAAACCATGTCAACAACTCGGCTCAGCTATTCTAACTTCTAGGCCTTACAAGAGAACTTTTCCAGGACCCCTTTGCCACCTAGGAGATACTTTCTAAGCGGGCTCGCCATCTTAATTCAATCTTATGTTTTTTTCGGGACTAGCCTATTATCTCAGAGATAATATCAAACCCAGGGTTGCAAATCACATGCTCCAGAGTTAGCTTCAGAACCTGTGACCATCTCAAAAAACTCAAGATAAATTTGCAATCAGCAGTCAAAGAGACTGGGTAAATTCAGGACATATTTGTTCACGAACATGCTTGCTCCTCAACTGCAAAATTATAAACATAGAGAAATCATTATCTAGCTTAGTTAGCTTCATAACTAAGAGGTCTATCTACACATGGCAAAAATATACAAGAATTTGGCAGTGTTCCTGCCTCCTACTAGATACAATTCTAATGAGAGAAATGAAAAAAAAAAAAAAAAAAAGTCCTGTTTGGATTAGTAGTACTTTCAGTTGAGCCCCGTATCTGAAGTGTTGACACAAGCAATGTTGGGCTGCTTCCCAGCCAAACACACATCGGATGGACTGAACAGAACGTATTAATGGGGAAGTGGAAAGAGCCGCAGAAAGGCAAGAGGATTTCTAAGTTCAGAGAGGTCCTTGGTCAAGCAGCCATGCTAAACTCCCCTTTGCAGCGTGTGTGAGAGAGAAAGCATGAATGTACTCCTCTGCCCGCCTGGAGGCTGGCAAACCCTGTACCCCGTCCTTCTGAAATTCCATCTGGGCAAAGTCACTTACCTTCCGGGAACACTACTCTCATTTTGAGATAGCTGGTGGTGAGTCTGATTATGGATGCTTTGTCCAGCTGCGAGGTGATCGCCGAGGGCAAAGGCAGTAACTTGGCCAGTTCGTAAAACTCGCTGTTTTCCTTCTCCCTCCTAGTCCGGGCAGCATTTTTGGACTTCTCTTTCATCGTGTCTCGCTCCCCCTTTCTTCTTACAACATGCGCTCCACAGATTCATCCAAAACCAAAATAGACATTCAATTAAAGATCATTTTTTTTGGCAAAAAAAAAAAAAGTGAAGCAGACATTGAATGAAAAAGACTGCAGTTTTTGCTTCGGTGTTTTGGTGGTGGGAAAAAAGACCAACGCAGGGAACAGGAAATATTTTCTTTAAAAATACGGGATGCAAAGAGAGGAAAGCGGCCGATCCGGAGATCCGGAGCAATCGGGGAGCGATCCTAGGAGTTTCTGGATGTCAAATGCCAGCAGGACTCCCGAGGAGCCAGCCTTTCCTTCGGTTCCGCGCTGCGAACCCGGGTCCCTGGAAAAGCGACATCATAATCCCCGACGCCTGTTCTTCGGGCCCTCGAGACAGCCCCGGGCCCTTCTGGGGAGACCAGGGAAGCCGGCGGCTCTCTCAGGAGGGCACTGTGGAGACAACAGCATCGGAGCGTCAGCGACCTGCGGCCCCGGGCGCTCAGCCCTCCCCCGGGGGCCGGGCAGGGCCTCGGCTCCCCTCGGCGCTTCGGTTTGTTTTCCAAAGTGCGGGGCGGTCAGCTGGGAGGCTGAGCCCCGCGCAAAGAGAGCTCGCTCGCCTTCCCTCGCCCAGGCCAACCGCGTTCTCCTGCCCCCCTGGGAAGTTGCCCAAACAGCGAGACGCCTATTTTGAAGGGACCCCCCCACCCCGCAATCGCCCGGCCGCCGGGCCCGGGAGGGAGGCAGGTCCCTGCAAACCCGGATGCCCCAGCAGCGCCGCGGCCGCCTTCCAGGCCCCCCACTTGGGCAGACCTGGGACTTGGCTGGCTCTCTCACTTGGATGGGAAGTCTCGGGGATTCCTCTAAAAAGTGGCACCTCCACACCAAGTCCCTCGGGGACTCCCGAGCCGACGACCCAGAGCTCTCCCCGCCCGGCGGGGGCGGCACCGCGCCGGGCCGGCCGCGCCAGGTTAACAGGTGGCACGTTCGCGGCAGCCCCTCGCGGGCACCGGGGCGGGCGGCGGGCCGGCCTCTGCCTCCGCCGCAGAGCCAGCGGCCGTGCCCCTGGGCGGGCGCGGGGCGCGGGGCGCGGGGTGCGGGCCGCTGCACCTACCTTCCGTCCCCGCCGGCGGCCCGCAGCGCCGAGGCGCCCGCCTCTCGGCGGCACTCATGTCTGCGGCCCCGTCGGGCACCTCCGCGGGCCCCGCCGCTCCCCGCCGGCGGAGAGGAGCCCAGGGCTCCCGCTCCCTCTGCTCTCTCTCCGGGTCAGGACCTGGGGGAGGGGTGCGTGGAGGATGGGGATGCGAGCTTGGGGGCGCGTGCGGCGGTGTTAGAACCCTCCTCCTCGGCTCCTCGGTACTTGCTACGAAGCCAGTATTATTCCTAACGGGAAGCCGAAAACACCCCCCTCCCCCCCAACTTCTTTATACCTTTCGGGGTTTAGCTTCAACTTCACTCCCGGGCTCCCCTGCTCCCGCCCTCCCTTCATGGCATGCACAGGCCTCCTCGCTGCCGATTGGTCGGGCGCGCCTCCGGGAGCGGCGCCCATTGGCCAGACGGGCTGAGTGACGCGCCGCTCCCCCCCCCCCCCCCCCCCCCCGAGCGGACCCGCTGCAGCCTGGCAGCCTGGCCACCCGCTCCGCCGCCGCCGCCGCCGCCGCGCTCCTCGCCAGCCCCGGGCACCGGGGTCCGCGCTCACCCGCAGCCGCGGCGGCTTCGAGCGGGACCCCTCTCGTGCTTTGCGGGCGACGTGCAGCACCCGCGGTCCCCGCGGTCGCTGGGGTCAGGAGGCTAAGCCTTCGGCCCCAGCGCGGGCTCCTCAGTGCCCGGGGTGCCCGCCAGCGCCGGGCGGCGTCCCGGGGCCGCGGAGGTCAGGCGGGGGTGGGGAGCGGCGGGGCTCCCGTCGGGCAGAGTAGGGAGCGGGCGAGGTTCGCCCCGGGGCGGACCTGGCGGCATCGCCCTTCCCGCGAGCAAGTTGCGGGGCCCGCGGGCCGCTGCGGGCCGGGGCTGGGCTTTCTTTTCTCCTCCACGTTTCTCTGAAACCATGGCGGCACCGAATTCACCGCCAGGGAGACACATATATGCCTTTCAGTGACTCCCAAAGCCGAGTGTCTTTTTCGAAATGGGTAGAGTTTGGGGGCTGACGGGGTGGCGTTTTCCTCCGGGAGGCAGAGAGGAGAAGCGGTCACATTTTAGGCCCGAAGTGAAGCAGATAGATAGCTCTCCTACCCGTTGTGGCGCACGTGAACGAAGACTTTTTGTTGGGTTTTGTTTCAGGAAAAAAAGACAGAAGTCCAACATGAGTATTCCTTACAGAAAGGAATGAATTTAAATTCTCCGTGAGTGAATTTAAAGCATTCACCGATCCCCGACGGGAGCCTTTTAAACACTCTTTGAAGTACCATTGAGGGCAAATTTTACCTTAGAGGGACCTTCCCGTTTGAATTGCTTTCTCTCTGTCGCCTGAGGACAGCAAAGGGGAGAGCCGACCTGTCCCCCAAGACAGTCTTCTCTGCCGGCGAACCCCTCCCCGAGGATGCGATGCCCCGCTCTGTCCGGGGGCTCCATGCGCCCAGACATCAGCCGCAACGGAGCGCGGAGGCAGAGGTTTCCGCAGCCAGAAAAGAGGGAGAACGCAGCACCCTCTCCTCTGGGCTCTAATTGCCGCAGAGAAAACACACCCTGAAGAGGGCTGTGCCCAGTTCCGCTGAGGTTCGGAACCGCGTGAAGAGTGTTTGTTTAAAAATACAGACATCTGCCGCGTCCTGGCCGCCTCCGACGGCAGTGAGCTCTCAGAAACGACCGGGCTTCCTGGGGTACTTGCACATCTGGGGGACACCTGGCAGGCGGAGGTGAACATCCAGGAGAGAGAGAAAGAATAGGAAGGGGGAAACACACACACACACACACACACACACACACACACACACACTAAACACTGAGAATTTCTGGGTGTTCCAACACTGGAACCAAGCTAATGGGCTGTCATCTAGAGCAGAAGCTGTAGCCCCTTAGAGATGGTTCCGACCACCACGCTGTGTATGTCCTTTGAACAGGAGCTGGGTAGGAATACAGAGGACTGTTATGGCTCCCGTGTGGACCAGGTTCTAGAAAGACCAGATAAGACGAGGTCCCTCCTACAGGGAGACAGGGGTGCATGTTTGCAGAAGGTGCGAGGACCTCCCTGGACGGGACTCTGCTTTCCCCAGCTCCAGCCCGGGCAGACCTTAGGGGTGAAGTGGGCCTGACTGCCAAGGCGTGCGGGGACGCTTTAGGGGCAAGGCGTGGTTTTTCTATTCAGACTGCGCTCTAGAAAGGGCTTCCGTTAAGCCTGCGGTTGCTTTAAACCCTCTCTCTCTCCTTCCCACAACGTGCAGGTGTGTCGTGCCTCCTCCGGAGTCTGAAACCCTGGCCCAGGCAGGGACTCTGCGGATCAGGCGTGTCCTCGCTCCCGGGCAGGGGGCCTTTCACCGGGAGGAAACGCAGGATGTTTGCCTTGAGAAGCAAGAGGAGCAAAATGAGTCTGGAAGTCCTTACACCAAAGGCGATGCCCGGGAGGGGGAAGGAGGAAGAGGGGGGGCAGGCGGTCCGCACCATCGTCTCAGTGAAGCTCAGTGGTGGATGATCCCAGTGAACGTCCTTTAATAAACAAATGAATGCCCCGCCACGTGGTGCGGCTTCCTCGCTAAGTCCTCGGCACACAGCAGCCCGGGCCGCGTTTACCCAGCCACTGCATTAGCCTGGCGACGGGACACCTGTTTTTCTAATCTCTGAACCTCGGCTGCAGCGGAGCGAGGCCCCCGACTCCCTGCCCCGGACCCCGCGGCGACCCCGCCCTCTGCCCCGCACGCGCCCCTGGCCAGCCCGGGCTCCAGCCGAAACCTCAGGTGCCTCCCTAGAGGACTGAGGATGTGTGCCGGCCTCTAGCAGGACATTTTAAATAAGTTTCTTGAGACTAAAAGGCGAATCCTACCCACCTCTTTGTCACTGTAAGGGAGAAGGACCCAGGAAAGGAAAAGAGGCGCACACACACGCAACCCGCCCACCCCAAACAGGAACCCTCAGGGTGCGGGCCTCCCCTTCCCTGCGGGGCGCCTGGGCGCGCAGCCCTCTGGCTCTGGGGCGCCGTCTACGCAGCCAGAACGCAGTTCTAAGTGGGAAGATGCAGGAACCGAATTATAAACATCTTAACATCTTGCATCTTGCTCCTCCACCGTCCTGCTCCCCAACACACACACACACACACACACACACACACACACACACACACACATACCAGGAAGGCAAACTGCCCAGAGCAACCCCAACGTGGTGCCCCTTGGGAGTCGTTTCCATCTCAGGGGAGACTTTGGATGGAGCCCGCCTCTGCTGTCTGCTGGCCTGGACTCTGCCACCACGTGCAGGCGCCTAAGGCTCTAGTGGGGGAGCCATGTGTGTCCGACCCGACCCCGGGGGATCCTAAAACCAACTTGGCTGTGTGCGCTGGGAACCAAGGAGAGGAAGCCTCCCAGGGCCGCTGGAACCTCTCCCCAAGTCAGCAAAGCCTAGACAGCAAAAGCTGACCCCCTGGGTTATAAAAGGCCAAGCGAACGCATAGCAGAACCCTGTGTGATCCCAGCGTGAGGCCCACCAGGGCACGTTGTGGTGCCAACCCCTACTTGGGCAGGGACCTCCGTCCTGCCTTCTGGGAACTCCTCTCTGAGCTCTGACGCTTGAGCATCTTATCAAACCTAAGGTGATTGTGTGCTCCCCCTCCTCCTCCACCACAGGAACATTTTTTAAAAAGACTGCTAGGGATGCACACATGTACTTCTACACACTTGCACATCACATATACACAGTTGTAACAAAGCATACAGGCACAGATTTTGCTCAGTGGCCAAAGGCAGGCTGAAGGATATATTTATAATCAAGATGCAAAAAGATATTCACTTAAATATCTCAGTATGTTACATCCAGATGTTCACCCTCTACCACTGGAAAGGGGAATTTTTCTAGGGGAATATTAGTGTCTAGGGGAAGACTAATGCTGTCGTCTCCCATGCATGGATGTGAATCCTGCTCTAGCCCCAGTTTATTACTACACAGAGACTCTGTGGTGTCCAGGCAGAAGCAAGAGCCCCTTAAATCTTTAAGCCAGTGGGGAGGGTCTGCGAGTAAACAAAGGATAGGATGAACCTCCAAAAAGTCAGGACATATTTTAATAATTGCAGTAACTATTACTTATTTGAGTAGGATGTTTTAGAAATTATAAGGTATTGTACACACACAAAAATAGCCCTCTAGTGAGGTACTGCTCAGGCACCTCTCTTACTGACCACTGAAATGTAAAAAAGAAAAAAAAAATAGTTTCAGTGATTACACACTGGGGGAAAAAGGGGAGAAAAGACACCAAGTTGAAAAATAAGATTGGCGACTGCAGGTAAGGTTGTTACATAGTTTCTATTAACATTCTGGATAATATTTTCCACCCAGATGTTGATACTGTCTTCTAATAGACCTTGAATTCGCCGCTTAGAAAACGAATTGCTTCTTAAATTGTGCACTCTTCATAAGAACTGGAAAACTCTGATGCTGAGCCTTTTGAGGACAGGAGCCCACGGGTGCCTGCGGCTCCACAAGCACTTTTTTACACTTTTCCTTTCCAAAAACCCAGCGAGGAATTTTATGTGTGGCTGATTCATCAAAGTTGGGCACAGAAGCACAACCAGAGTGATCAAAAGTTGAAGATCAATGTTGGTTTGAGACCTTGGGTTGAAAGACTTGGGTCCCTCAGGCCAGATCATGTGGTGTGTGCACTTCAGCAGCTCAGGCCAGGGCAGCCCTGGGAGTGGAGGTGGGGTGGCCAGAGAGGGGCAAAGTGGGGTCAGTGGCCTTCAAAAGAGCGAGGGGCATCTCAGATTTGGGTGGATCCAGAGGTTTGGATTGTGTCTTTATAAAGTTTCCCCTTTTCTGGGATCAGTGTGCCCAGGGACTGTGCAGTGAGTGCCTGAAGAGCACGCCCTAGCCCTGCGCCCTCCAGACCTGGGGAAGGCATTCTCCCAGGAGATCTCTCTCATCCATAAACAGAGGAGTCGCCTGCTTCCAGACCTGGCCAAGCCTCCAGCCACTTGGGGCGAGAGGGTAGGGAAGTACTGCTTTTAAGTATGGACCTTCCAGATCCACTCTGATTAGGAATCAGAAATGCCTGCTGGACTAGGGAGTTGGCATTCGGTAAGTGCGGGAGCCTGGTGAGAAGCAGCTCAGAGCCAGAGGGGTGTGGCAGCCGCCTCCCACCGCGCAGCGAGGGCGCATGTGCCCCCACCCCCACTCTCACCCCCTGACACAGAGTGGCTTTGCCCAGCTAGGGGCACGGTCTGACTGATGATGCTGTGCCTCCAAAGCTGCGGCCAGAGCCTGTCCTCCTGGAGTTCCCGCGAA